CAGGCACGCGCAGTCAAGATCCGCCTTCCTCTTGCACTGTCCGTCCCCTCCCTATCCCAGGTTTCGCTTTCTGAGGTTTCAGTTTCCCCGCAGACTACCGCGGTCTGCAAATGTTGCATGGAAGTTTCCAGAACCTTTAGTAAGTATGACATAACTTTTATGACCATGTGTGGTCACCATTGTTCCGTTGTGGTTTTGGTAAGATTTATTTCACTTTATTTGAAAGAATGACAGAGAGAGATCTTCCATCCGCTGGTTCACTCCCCCAAATGACTACAGCAGCCAGGGCTGGGCCAGAAAGAACCCAGAAGCCTGGAGTTTCATCCGGGTCTCCCACATGGATGTAGGGGCCCAAGCGCTTGGGTTGACTTCCACTGCCTTCCCAGGTGCACTAGCAGGGAGCCGGATGGGAAGCAGAGCAGCCCGGACCCAAACCAGCACCCACATCGGATGCCGGTGTCACAGGCAGCTGCTTTCCCTGCCATGCCATGACGCCAGCCCCTCATTGTTCCATTTTACTGGTAGTTGCGGTTTTTCCTCTTCTTACGGTGCCTAACGTACAGATCAAACTTTATTGTAGATATGTACGTATGGGAGAAAGACAGTATGGTTCAGTCCTATGCTTGGTTCCAGGCACTCCCTAGGGCTCTTGGAAGCGGGAGACTGTACCCGCCCACCCCCACCCAGTGCCAGCCCACTGCGTGTTCAGTAGCTATCTGGCAAATTGAACATGGCCGTGGAAGGCTGGTGATAGACTCCAAGGTTCTACTGTGAGCACAGGGTCTGCCCTTAGCAGGCCCAGATCCAGAAAAGATTTAGAGGGAGCAGCTTTCTTCTGTGGAGAACCCCAAAAAGGAATGCGACCTTTGCCCCGAGGATCTCCAATGCAGGGAAGGAAGCAGAAGTTGTCGCTTTGACCTTGCCACACTGACCTGAGATCAAGGGTGGCACCGGCTGAGGACACGAAGCTTTGTGGCAGATCCTCCTGCGGGCCCACCAGCATCACCCGGCATGGTGGCTCCCTGGTACCCACTCTGCAGTGGGGAGCAGAGGCCCTGAGCTTCAGGTACTGTGGCTAAGCAAGCACCTGGGAGAACTACTCAGCCCCAGCAGAGAAGCTACCTGGTCCTTGGGGTCCCTCTCCATTGCTCCCCTGTAACAGGCCCAGCTTCTGGTCCCACCAGTGCCCCTCCACTCAGCTGGATCCTGTCCACTCAGACCTGGCCTTTCTGTGAAACCTCACCAAGCCTCCCATCAGAAGTGGCACCCAGGGTAGATGTTTGGCTCAAGAGGGAAGGGGCTGCCTCCCATATCAGAGTGCGTGCGTGTTTGACTTCTAGTTCCTCTTCCTATCTCAGCTTCCTGCTGATGCGCACTCTGGGAGGCAGCTGGTGATGGCTCAAGTCCTTGGGTCCCTGCCACCCACGTGGGAGACCTGGATGGAGTTTCTGCCTCCTGGCTTCAGCCTGGCACAGCCCCAGATGTTGCAAGCGATAGAATGAAGCAGCAGATGAAGATCTCTGTCTGTCTCTGTCTTTCAAATAAATATTTTTTTTAAATCCTCAAGTTCACTTGGCAATAATTTTTTTAAGTGGCCTCTTCCTCCTCCTGCTGTTCCTCCTTCTGTGGGACTCCAGGCTCTTCACCAACACTTCTCACCTGCCATTCCTTCTGCTAGAGCTGGCCTGATCCAAAGCCAGGAACCAGGGGCTTCCTCCAGGTCCCCCACGCACCCAGGTCATCCCCTACTGCCTTCTCAGGCACATTAGCAGCTCACGACTTAACTGCTAAGCCAAACACCCTCCCCACAACCAAACACTGGATGAAGAACTATTCCCTGACCTAGAACAATAGCCAAATGCTGAGACCAGTGGCCATTGCCACTCATGTTCAGGATGGGCTCTCGTGCTTCAGACTGCAGAAGGTAGGTGACCAGGTCTAATGGGGGAGAGAAATGGAAACTTCCAGAAGGTGGAAGATTGCCTGACTTTTGCAACAGAGCAGATCTGGGGGACAGTGAAGCCACCAACACCAATGGCATCCTCTGGAGGCATCAGTGGGGTTCAAGAGTTCCAGCCCTCAGGAGAGGACAGTGCCAGCCTCCCAGGCTGTAGTTCAGAAAGTAAACATACCATGGGGCTGGCGCTGTGGCGCAATGGGTTAAAGCACTGGCCTGAAGCACCAACATCCCATATGGGTGCCAGTTCTAGTCCCAGCTGCTCCTCTTCCAATCCAGCTCTCTGCTATGGCCTGGGAAAGCAGTGGAAGATGGCCCAGGTCCTTGGGCCCCTACACCCACATGGGAAACTGAGAAGAAGCTCCTGGCTCCTGGCTCCTGGCTTTGGATTGGCGCAGCTCCAGCCATTGCAGCCATCTGGGGAGTGAACCAGCAGATGGAAGACCTCTCTCTGTGTCTCTACCTCTCTGTAACTTAGTCTTTCAAGTAAATAAAATAAATCTTAAAAAAAAAAAAAAGAAAGGATACCTGCAGGTGGGAAAGAGTCTGGCCACCCACAGGGATGAAGGGCTGAAGAACTACCAGCTGGAGCTAGCGCCCTATGCTGCCCTGCCTTGCCAAGGAGGGCGTGGGCCAGCCATGGGCAGGGAGATAGGGATGGAGAGCAGTGTGGTACCCTCCAGGTACCCAGCACCATCCAGGAAGGGTCAGTGGGTGGGGGAGGGGTGAAAGGAACTCACCTAGCTGGGGTCCTCCCTGCCCTGTGAACACCATGGCAGGACTGTCTAGTCCAAGTACTAGAAAGGGTGTAGGCCTGCCCTGGGAGAGGCCAAAATGGGAGAGGGCTGGTGTGGACAGCCAGGCTGCAGGGGCCAGGGGCCTTCATGGCTCCTGCCTATTCCTTCAGCCTGGAATCTTCTCACTCCCTCTGGGCAGCCCGCAGGTGTGCTCCTGCTGGCTTTTTTTTTTTTTTTTAGGTAGAGAGCCATCTACTGGTTCACTCCTCAAATGCCTGCGACAGCTCCCAGCTGCGGCCAACACCAGGAGACAGGAGTGCAGTCTCCCAAGGGACCTGACTCCTTGAGCCATCACTGCTGTCTCCCGTGTGTACAGAAACAGGAAGCAGGGACTCTAACCCAGGACCTCCAAAATGGGATAGGAGTGTCCCAAGATGAGGGTGTCCCAAATAGTGACTCAACCACTAAGTCAAATTCCCACCCCCAGTAGGCTTTTTTGTTTTTTGTTTTTTTAGATTTATTTTACTTATTTGAAAGGCAGAAGGCAGAGAGAGAGAGAGAAGAGAGAGAGAGGTCTTCCATCCGCTGGTTCACTCGCCAGATGGCTGCAACGGCCAGAGCTGCGCCGATCCGAAGCCAGGAGCCAGGAACTTCTTCCTGGTCTCCCATGTGGGTGCAGGGGCCCAAGGACTTGGAACATCTTCCACTGCTTTCCCAAGCCATATTAGAGAGCTGGATCAGAAGTAGAGCAGCCGGGACTCGAACATGCACCCATATGGGATGCCGGCACTGTAGGTGGCAGCTTTCCCTGCTATACCACAGCGCTGCCCCCCCCCCCCCCGCCGCCGTAGGCTTTTTAAGGGGCTCCTTATTGTGGCACAGTGGTTTGAGCTGCTACCTGCGATGCCAGCATTTCATATGAGCACTTTCACTTCTAAGCCAGCTCCCTGCTGATGTGCCTGGGATAGCAGCAGAGGATGGCCCGAGTGTTTGGGCCCCTGCCACCCACGTGGGAGACCTCAGTGGAGTTCCAGGCTCCTGGCTTGGGCCTGACCCAGTCCCCATTGTGGCCATTTGAACCAGCTGATTGAAGATCTCTCTCTGCCTCTCCCTCTCTCTCTCTCTGTCACTCTGCCTTTCCAATCAATACATGCATTTTTTTTAAAAAAAAAAAGTCTTATTGTTAAAATATTGGTTGATTGGAAAGGCAGAGTGACAGAGAGAGAGAGAGAGAGAGATGTTCCATCCACTGGTTCACTCCCCAAATGCACACAACAGCCATCAAAAGTGGAACACCGGGACTCGAACCAGCACCCATATGGGATGCTGGTGCTGCAGGCCAGGGCTTTAACCCGCTGCACAACAGCTGAGCCAAGCTGAAACCAGAAGCCTAGAACTTCATTCGGGTCTCCCACATGGGTAGCAGGGGCCCCAGCACTTGGGCCATTTTCTACTGCTTTCCTAGGCGCATTAGCAGGGAGCTAGATCAGAAGTGGAGCAGCCAGACCTGGAACCCAGCACTCTGCTGAGGGATGCTG